ATATATATATATATATATATATATATATATATATATATATATATATATATATATATATTCTGAATATTCGGACATTGTGAAAAATGCGATCAAAATACAATGCGATCTCGAAAAATATCCGTGAACTAATTTTTCACTCTACTTTATCATAGTAATCGAAAAATTGCATGTAATCATAAACTTTTCTGTAAACTTTTCGTATCTTTTTTGGTATCGAAATTAAATTCTGAAAGTGTAGTAGTGAAATTTCTTTGAAATTTTCTTGATTGGAGCATCCACAATATTGCACTAATTGACAACTTAAAATTTAAATTTAAACATTTTTTTCGTTTTCGTCACATATTGAGCAATGCTCCAATTTATTTTTGCATACACTTTTGTTATGTAAAAGCGTTTGTAATTCTGTGCAAGCAACAAGACGTAAACTTTGCAAAAAAAAAGCCAATGTTATGTCAGTAAAGTTTTCATGTCCGGCATCCCCTTAACGCCATAGAGTTAATTAGGAATTTTATTCTTCAAAAAGATGAATATGAAACAGAAACCAACGAAATATTGTCTTCGTTGGTTAACTCTCAGTCAATCGAGGGTGTGAGAAAGAGCAGGGAAGAATAAGGAAGAGATTAGAACGACAGATGCATATTCCGCTCTCCCAGGAATCACGCGTACATTTGCATGCTATTATCCTCCCCCGTAAATTGTATTTACTTCCTTCTACGCTGTCGCGCGTATCAACGTAACGCGCTTGCCACAGCATATTATCATACGTAACGAGTGCGCGAAAAGTAGCTCGGTGAAGCGTGGAGTGTCTCGCGAGCTGTATACACATCGAGGCGCAATTTGTCGCCCACCGTCATGTTGCGGCGTACAAGGGATAAAGTTTAGGTCGCGCAAAAACGAGTATTCGAGCGCGCGCAACGTTATCGGGACGCGAAAAAGCGCTCGTTATCCGATTACTTGTAAAATTTTTCTATCGATCATTTCGGCTCATCCATCACGGCCGGGCTTTCCGAGAAAATGTCTGAGCTTCAACAATCCCATTGTAGTTTCGCGAGACATCGATAAAGAGAAAGAGAGAGAGAGAGAGAGAGAGAGAGAGAGAGAGAGAGCACGCACGCGCGCGCGAATAAAGCGACACCGTCGCGAATAAAACAATTACCTAGGTGTGGGATGTTGAAAAAAAATCCGCGTAAAAAGCTCCCGCGGAGTCCTTTTTATGTGAAGCCCGCGCAAGCAAGAACAAGCGTTCTCTCTCCACGAGGAGGATTAATGCATCCGGCGAACCTCGGTTAGCTTCCTCTGGGATACGAACGGCAGAACACTTACGCGTGATCCAATGGGGTCTGTTATAGCCGCCATACGTCTTCCATCAAAATAAAGTGATTTACGAGCGAAATATATAATTCATCCTTCACCTTTCGCGTATACACACACACATGCATGCACATACAATCATATAAAGAACGACTCTGAAAGAGTCGAGAAAAAGAGCGGGCAAGAATCAAAGAAAGAGAGAGATGCGTCGAATACGAACAAGTATTCGCGATCCCCCATCTTTTACTCCACTATCACGCTCTCGCTGCTCGTCGTTCGCGTGATCGATCTCGACTCGATTATTACATCGCGGTATAAAATCGGCCCTCTCGTCCGATATAACACGCCTCGTCGGGACCGCTGTATCGGCGTGGTACGCGAGATATCCATTAAGGATATTCCCACGAAATCTCTCCGCACCCGCGTACCTATCACAAAGCGGGGCGGCGGGCGCGGGGAAACGGCAGGGAGACGGGAAGGGGTTCGATATGTATCCCCGGCAAATTGCTTAAATTCATGCGATAGTACAACCTTTCACCGAACAATCCTAGTGATGAATACCACGCGATACCTGCATAGCTCCGCTCCTGTAGGCATCATAAATCGTGATACATCGCGCGCGCGCGCGCGCGCGCATACGGTCGGAGCACGCGCTGCGCTACGTCGTCCTCCCCTTCCACCATTCCCCGTTGAGACTGTTCTCGCGGAGAAATAACCGTAATCGAAGTAATTCGACGCTCGGCGATTTAACAGTAGCTCCTGATACCGCTAAATTGCATTGTTTAAACGAATTATCGGCGAATCTAATAACGGGCCGGTCTAATACGCCGCACAATCGCGCGTATAATCGATTATGCGCGCGCGCCGGTCGCCAATGTTAACAATTAACTATTTAACCGCGACACTTGCCGCGTATTATTCTCTCTGGTATATCGGAACTTTCGTGGTTGAACGCGCGAGCGTCATGTGCATGCACGCTCGCATGTAATATTTATACGCGAGGAGATTTGGTGTATGCATTTTTTCGAGAATACTTTTTCTTGGTAACTGAAGAGGTTCTCGAAGCAGCTGCGCTCCGCATGTGCGACGCATCCGGGGTCAGGCCACACACGAGCGTCGGAGGATCAATCGTGACTGATTCGCAAGCGGCCGCGAGTAATGTCACAGGTGAGCCGCGTTAATCGGTTGCCGGGTAAAGAAACGATAAATTCGTAATGCCATGCAAGCGAGGAAGGCAACGGCGCGAGGCAGGGAAGGACGATATGGCTCATCCGCTATCCGCAACACGTGGCCAGGTGGGATTTATAAGGCTGTAAATTATGTCCGTAGCAGAACACACTCGATATACTCGGTTAACACACGCCGCTCTGGCTCCTGGCATGAGTTGCATTACAAGCGGCGCGAGTCGTCCTCAGGTGGAATTGGAAACACGGTAATGATGCAATTCTATTTTCACGTCGTTAGAGCTTCGCGTCGGCCAACGTGCGCACACGTTGGGAGATATGGGGGATTATTTTATTTTATTTTAAACAAAGTTCGCGCGCGCGTTTCTCTCTCGAGTTCTTCAACTTCCAAAAAATAGTTCATGCGAGTAAACCGCGTGCCCGGGTAAAATTCTATTTAAAAATAATCCGAGTCTTTGATACTCGTGAGAGTCCCTCTGCTGCGTCATTCGTTACTGCATTTTGTTCCGTTCTCACGATTAAAACACATGGCTGAGACAGTATTTTTCGCAACTTTAAAATAGAAGCAAAAAAAGTGCTTAACCATAGGGTAAAATAAAAAGGAGTTTAATTAATATTAATAATATAGACCAAGATTTATAGGTTTGATTCATTACGTACGTTATAAAGATTGAAAAATTAATCTGGTACGTGCGTTAACACTGTCAAACATTATTATCCTTCCAGCATATAATATTTGCCCTCACATCTAAGCCTTGATTCTTACTGGTCAAAGATATGTTTAATTAAAATTGTATACTTCGTAGAACCTTTGTATAGAAAGCTTTGTTTAAAAGCACCCAAATAGACAGAAATGTACGTAAAAGTAGCAACTGCCCACGATAGATTTTTACGATTATCA